CAGATTTACTCTCTTCTTGAGATGAGTCGTCTAGTAATTTTATTTGTGAGCCAAACTCATAAAAACAATGGGTTCAATATATCCTTTAAATTAATAGATTGCATAACTGAGTGATATTTTATAAGTATTATAAAACTGTGTAATATTAGAAATTAGCTATTTGGGAATATAATAGACACCTGATGGTATTTTATTGATTGGGCAAAATAGCATGAGCTAGATGCTCCAAGCCTGTTTCATGACTCTGTATCCTACAGTATAAGGAGTGAAACAGCAGACAGATATTAGATTGTACTCTGCTGCCTCTGGAAGTCTTTGAAAATCTATTCTAGAGCCTCTTTCCAGCAGCCTTACCTACTGACATTTAGATGGGAATTGAAAAGACCTCCCCAAACCTACTCTTTTGCCAAAGACTAGAGGTTTCCATTTTACAGGGCCTTATGTCTCCTTTTGTTTCTGGGTTCCTTTTAAAAATCCAAATAAATATCAAAATGCATTTATTAAACATGTTGGAGGCATGTAGCCAAATCGGATGCTACTGTATGTAAGGAAACTGTGTGGAGTGTGGCAACACCACCTGGCACTGTGAAAACATTTTGGAATGCTTGTGGCAACTTCAAAGAAAAATGTAGGAAATTTTGTGTTTAATTTTCCTAAACGTATTTCCAGGACACTCATGATTTAGGAAACTCATTTTGTAGATTTTCAGTAGACATTTCAATGATTTTTTTTAATACCCACATAATGCATTGTGGGAAAAAAAAAAGAAAGAAACGTAATACTTGACTCTTTTAATGACATTAATTTTATGTAAACTAGAGCATATGCTATGTAAAAAAAAAAAAACTCTAAAGGACTGATGAGCTTAATGTATTCGTTCTTCCCTTGTCTTAATGAGGAAACAGACCAAAGTGCCTCTCTGATTGAAGTTAGGGAAACTGAAGTTTGTCCGTAATACATGTTGGTGACACTAAGGTAGAATCAAGGAAGGGAGCAGGGCACTACTGCACACGCTTTTGACATCTAACTATCTACTAAGCTAGGATGAAAAAAAAATTGTTATAACGCACAGGATGTGAGCAAAGAGGCACCTCAAGTGCAAAATACGTAAATCCATGTATCTCTGTGTCTAATAAACCTGTTTCTTTGCTCCTCAACAATGGAGGAGTCAAGTTAACTGAGATTTTAATTTGGTGGACTGAAGGCACTGTGTTAGTTTACAAACTGAGACCCCCTCGTTGTCACAGTTTTTAGTGACCTAATTTATATGATGTTGACCTAGGAACAATACCAAGATGAAGCTAAAATCATCACTAGCTCTTCTCTCTTTTATGTTTAAAATTAAGTATCAGAGAAGCAGAGGTTTCCAAAATATGATTCAAACAAGATTATACTTTTTGGATGTTACCAACATATTAATACACCTCGCAACTCAGATACATAAAGCCTGGGTTCTGTAAAGTTGTTCAGTTATTTCAAGCTCAAGTCTTTATACAACCAATAGACATGGGCTATTTTTCAAGGGCAATGATGACTCTAAAATGTGAAATTTATTGACTAACGGTGCTGTTCAGTGCCCTTCTATGGTCTGTGTTTCATGTATTTTGTTTCAAACCCATTTTTGATAATGAATCAACAGGTACGACATGAAAAAATATTCTAAGTATTCCTGCTAGTTTTTTTTCTCAGCCATTCACATTTAACTTGGGAAGGGAATTTGTGTAAGTAAAGCAATACTTATTCTACAAGTTTTTAGAAGTTTATGTTAATAGGAGAGCCAAATGTGATGAATATTTCTTAAATTCAAGTGTTCTATTGAAACCAGTTTGGGTTGGAAGAGGTAGAAAGATTCAGAATGATCGTATATTATATTACAATATAAATATGCCATGAGAATAAGTGGATATGGTCAGACATTGAGAAAAATAAAAAGGAATTGGATAATTTGGAGTGTATTATTTGATCTACTTATATCTTATACCTCAAACACTAAATCAGTACCCCAAAATGCAAAGTAATCAAATTTAGATTAAATAAATTATTTTGGTCTATTTGATGGAAAAGGATTGCCCCTGTCTCATACACGTGGGAGTAGGTAAGCTTCTCTGTTATCTCACTTAAAATTGACAGTGTTTGAATTCATCTGAACAGTTGCTGACCGAGGACCTAAAGCAGTTCAGCAAGTGAGATACCATTCATTGTGATTTAGGCTGTAAATGTTGTGCAGAATTAGGTGCAGTAAACATTCAAGTAAATGTGAATTTTAGACCCCAGTTTTATGTTCTGAAGACTTTGTAAAAATAGGAAAGTGTCCAATACCAAGAATGTACCATCGGAAGATGTTATTTCCCTATATGATATCCCATAGGAGCAGACAAATGAACACAACTCTAATTCCTGCTTCTATGACCAGTTCCAGTTTCCATTATCTTCCAGTTGTTCATAGGTGTAACTTGACTATACTGCGCCTACATAGGTTGGCCGTCATTGTGAGGGGGTAAAGCTCAGACTCTGGAGCCAGACTGCCTGGGTTGGCCACCTAGCTCTAGTGACCAGTTCAGTGACTTGTTACTAATTACTAGTTCTGTGACAGGCTAAACAGGTCACTTTTCTATGCCTCAGTGTCCTCCCTGTGTAAAGGCAATGATAGTACCTACCTCCCAGAGTAATTAAGACTAAGTAAACGAATACACCTGAAGCTCTTAGAAGACTGACCCATGATACATGCTCAATACCTAATAGCTATTCAGGTTTTTGCTATTATTGCTATTAAATTCCCAAGCTTTGGCCCCTTTCTTGAGAATGAAGATACTGTTTTTGAAATAGAAGAAAACTGCGGTGTCAGAACATGTGTCCTGCCAAAGGGTAATTTAAAAAAAAAAAACAACCTTTTAAGAAAAGAGATAAGAAAGCTTTGAAATTAGAAGAATGTTTCCACCGACATAAGGAAATAGGAATAGAAATGCTTAGTTTAATGGAAGAGAAAGGGAGAAGAAATATTTTATTATTTCAGCAAATCAAAACACTGTTGGGTGCTTGTTAAGAGGAAATGGAGGCCATCTGGAGAAAACAATTCCATTCCACTGTGTGCAGTGGATTTAAAGGACAGCTGGAAGCTAGGCCGTGAATTATGTAGGCCTTTGACCGTCTAATGTCATAGCACTATAAAGCAAACAGCAGGGGGCAGAGTTGTAGTTAATGAGAGGTGGAAAGAGTTATCAGGCTTCAATGATCAGTTTTTATGATATGGTTTTCCTTATCAAAGAAATATGCTGATAAAAATAACATTATTTTGGTTCTTTCCAATCATTTGAGTGCATTAGGACCTTAATATTCTAAGTCCTTCTGTCTTACTTATCTACGTATTTCTTATTCATTGCTTTGGTATTAATTTTTTCTTATAACCATTACTAGTGGTTGCTGTCTTTTTACTAATTAACTTGTTAAGTAACTATTAGCTCAGTTTTAAAATTTACATTAGGCGTATTTTTTTAAACCACCGAAATATGTTTTCTTTGGTGGCCTGGTTACCTGATAACTAAATAGTAGAGGAGTTTAAGCATGTATTGGAGATATTTTATTTTTATTTTTTAAATGGAGAAAGTCTCATTAAAGATTTATTAATTGATTCTGTGTTTTAAAAATTATTCAATACCTATCCAAAATGATCCATGTGGATTGTTTGGAATTAGGCAGGGGTGAAAGGAAAGAACCAGGAAATCAAAACTAATTTTTTATTAGCTAAAATGTTTTACTTTCCATTGTAATGAGTTAACATTTGTTTTAAAAAAATACATAGAAAATAAGAACATGTTCTTCCTTTATCAATGTTAAGAGAGGTTCAGACATGAACATTATCCTGTAAGAATCTGCAGAATTTCAAAAGGATAGATAGGATTATGTTGAAGTTTTTAGTATTCAGAAAAATTAAAAATTCCAACCTGTGGGTAACATATTCTGTTGCTTTCTTTCCATAGTAGTATTACCATTTTCTCCAGATATTATGAATTATAAAGCTACATTTTTGACTTTATTAAAAATATGTACATTTAACCTTTTAACTTTAATTGATTTGGGTAAGTTATTTTAGCCGTTTATGGTCAATGCTGGCTTTGAGTAGATAAGAAGGGAAGAAAATAAAGTATTTTTAAGATTCCATGTTCACAGCGACTGAGATTCCTTCAAAGAAAAAAATTTCTGTAACAAGAGCTGAGCAAATGTGTATCAGTGTGCCTTCCAGAAAAATGAATTGAGCCTTGTGTCTGAAAAACAGTATTTTAAAAGTAAGTCGTAAGGGAGATGAAGAGCTGAGCTGTGGTGGGTGATCTTCCAGTTATCTCTTCAATCAATTCTGTATAATGCTTTGGAAGCAGAATAACAAGGAATGCGAAATCAGTTCTCAAGATGCTATATGTGCGTCCGCTTAGTTCTATTTCTGTATTCATTGGAACAGGCAATTTATGCAGTGCACTTGTAATCCTCCAAGAGCAAAGACCAATTTCCCTGAAGGTTATGAGCACTCTTGAATTTCACAGATGCCAAAAAAAAAAAAGATTATTTTCATGTTGTCACATTTAGATAATGAAGTGTGCTAGATTCACGGAGTTCTCCACGAAGAGTCTCAGAGTATGCCCACTGTGTATCTGTTTTATTCTGAAATTCAGAAAGTGGATGTAGGCAGTTCTTAACAAGCATTGGCAAGTAGTAATTAACAGTGAGCGCTGAGGAAGATGGAGGGCTGAGAGGATCTGGCATCCGCTTCTGAACAGGAGTGTCTTTTATTCTTGAGAAAACAGGAATCCAATTGATCCGTTTATGATCCTTAGTCTGGGTTTCCGGATTGGGACATGAATCTCTGTGTGACTGAAATCAACCACCTGTTGTCTTCAAGTGGAAGTGAGGAGAAGGTCGAGTAAGGACAATCTGTTAATCCTTTTGGCACCTCATGGCCGTTTTGCTTGTTTTGTTTCACTTGGGAAGGCGTGTAAGGGCTGAGAGGAGAAATGTCTCATATTTGGATCCCCTTATGTGATGCTACCCATAATCATGTGGAGATTCTGAAGTTCAAAAGTAGCCCTGTATCTTGGCTCATCTATTTTTCCCTTGGATGTTTACATGGTTTTGTTTATTCTTCATGGCACCAAGGGTGCCTTAGGGACGAACTGTTTCCCTCACAACATCGGAAGAAAACGTGTTTGTGTTTAAAACGTTCACAGCTACCTGACAAATAATCAAATGTGGCCATCCACGGATTGCAGGAAACACAGACCCTTTTCAGCTTCCCTCCCTTTTCATGAAATCTAACCTGCATGAACGGAACACAGAGATTGGTGGATGACACTCTTCATGCACTCCCCGTCGAGGCCCCTCACCCCCATCTTTGGGGGCACAGTCCTGCTTAAACTTGTTTCTCTCACATTCCATACAGAGGGCAGAGTTCTGAAATGTGTACACACACCCTTGTCTGGTGTTCATGTTACATAATAGCTGTAAATGCTCTTGTGTGCCTGCGTACAAACTCCCGGGAGGACGGGGATAACACAGAACTAAGCCTCGGGGTGGTTTCTACCAAAAACAAACCCTTGTGGTCTCAGTATTTTGGCACAGGCAGAAGGGGACTTTTGCCCGTTTTGCCAAAGCTTGGGACTCCTTCATAAGATCACAGAGGAAAATGGAGGCGGGGAAGGGTTTGAGGTCATAAACCCTTGTCTGTTAGATCTGAATGCAGAAAATTAGGGCTGGTTTGAAAGTTGCAATTTCTTTCATTAGCTTAATAGTTGGGATGCAGTGCTTAGCTTCTAGCTGCTCAGAAACCGACAGGCTTATTCAGATATATCCAGCTATTGACGTCTCCTTATTCCATGACTAAATTTAACTGATGAAAAAGAAAAAAAGAAGAAGGGGAGAACAGAAATGCAAGAACCTAAGCTGGGACTAAGAGCATGCTTTTGGATCAGCTAGTCTGAAGTTTTCGTTCTAACTTCACAGGTGGTCCAAACAGACGAAGAGGGAAAAGGATGACCACAGACACCTAGCAGTCAGCCCCGAGTTCTGCCGCTCACTGTAACGGCGTTTTCATTCATTCATTCTGCCCTGGAGGAACGCTGGAACGGAGAGAAGAGTGCGTTTGGGTGTCTCACTTGATAGCCTTCTTCCTGAGAGGCTGACCCATCTGTTGTGAACAGGAAGAACTTTGCAGGTGAAGTCAATTTCCGCTGATGGTACTGAGATGGGGGGCAATCACAGAGCGTTCTAAAGGTTTGAACTTCCTTTCCTTATATGTCTTCCTTCAGAAATCCAAGAAGCCACCAGCACCAATGGCCTTGTAGCTGGACTGAGCCTTGGGTAAAGGAAAGGATAGCTGAGGAGTGGGCAAGGGTCCCAGGAAAACCCTGATCATAATGTTAATTGATGGCATTTATTTTTTTGAACCCTTGTTCAAACCTCTTTTAATATTAAGGCTAATTAGTTCTGTAGATTCCTTCAGCTGTGTAATTTCTTATTACACTGCTGTGTTCAAGGATAATACGCCTTATTTTTGGTAAATGACCTTATATATTTTGTAGAAGTAGGCTGGATATAAATGATAAACAAGTGAAAAAATAAGCATCCTCATGGTTTGCCTCTTTGATTGCATTGATCTTTGTCTCAATTCATGTCAGCAAACCTGGCCTTCTCATTCTCTTCTCTGTCTCTAGGGCGGGGTTTCTCTACGTCAGCACTATTGACATTTTGGACCAGATAATTCTTTGTCGTGGGATGTTTTCCTTTGCATCCCTGGCCTCTACCCCCTGGGTGCTAGTAGCAACCCCTTTGTTATGACAACCAAAAATGTCTTCGGACACTGCCAAATGCCAGACTTTTGGGGGCAAAGTCACCCTTCACTGAGAACCACTAGTCTAGAGCGAGCAGATTCTCCAAGATAATCCCAGTCGACCCATGTTTTCCCAAGTATATAGCTCCCCTTTCACTCTCAAAAGTGCTGTAATTTGCATTCTAATACCCACTTCACAGTGAACGCTTCCCTGACCACCCTGTATAAAAATCATATCCTTAGTTCATCTCCTCTGATTAATTTTTTTTACTGTAGCCCTTATCACTATCCTACATACTAAAAATTTACCCATTTATGTACTCACTTCCTGAATTATAGCTCATCTCTCAGAACTCATTCGCCAACTCCACGAGGGCAGGGATTTTTCTGTTTTGTTCACTGTCCTATGCTCAGTACCTTTAGCAGTTTTCCTAGGAAACATGTAGTAGACACTCAGTACATATTGAATGAATGTGAATAATGAAGGTATTGAAAACTTACTTTCCTCTAGGCATCAGGCCCAATACTGAGTATACAAAAGTGAGGGCAGGACTGGCCTTGCCCTTGAGAAGCTTACGATCTAGTAGGGGACACATACAAGTAAATAAAAAAGCACAGCAGAGTGAAAGGGCTGCAGGAAAGCGAATGCACAGATACAAGGGTTGCAGTGTGTTGAGGAGGTAGTGGAGGGGTGATACTTGAGCTGCTCTTCCTTACCATTCAGCTGCAGTCCATTATCTGCATAGCGACTGCAACGCAAATACAGCGTGAATTGCGATGTACAGCCACCGCAGGTACCAGTGGCCCCTCAGTGCGGTACACCTTCACCTGCTGGGTGCAGTTCTCACTCCTTAGCATGGTATATGAGGGTTGTCATATTCTGGCTCCCTGTCCGTACTTATCTATTGCACTCGCCTCCAAGCAGCCTCTCCTGCTAACCAGGCAGGTGAGAACAAGATGTGTTCTCAACGCTTTCAGGCTTTTCCTTGCTGGAATAGAATAGCCCTCCCTACCCCAAGGGGTCTGCCTGACATGTGTCAAGATTCTGCTGAAATGGAATAGCCTCTCTGAAGCCTTCCTTGATGTTGCCTTCCATCTGAGTGAGTTATCACACAAAATGCCAAGGGCAGACAGCTTGGAAAAGTTATGTGTTTCTGAAGGGAATGAAGCTATTAAGGAGGTTTGGAAAATGGTCCCCAAAAAATAAATACCATCAGTCAAGACTGTGCATGAACTTTGAGTAATTGTTGTCTGCAATCCACATCCCTGGAGCAAAGAGGTGACAAACCTGTTGTAGATCAAAACATGTCCCTCATCTGCCTGAAGTTTAATCTGGGAAGGACTGAAATTAAGTTCTGGACTACACGATGCTTGGGACTACATATTAAATATATTATATACAATTTATCTGTATGCATTTATTTACGTTAAATGTGTAGTAAACTATATAAAGTTTATTTCATGTTCTGAGTTTTTGATTTCTAACTACTAATTCCTATTATCATGATAAAGTTGTGGGTAGAAAGTGCCCAACTGAGTATTTTTAAAGGCAAATACTTCCATCAAATAGAAACAGAGTGTGATTATCATCAAGATTCAAGTGACCAGAGCTAGGTGAGCAGCATGCTTTATAAGATGGTGTCTCTGTAGTACCTGTTAGTCTTTGAATATTTATTCAGCTGTTTGAATAACTTAATATTCAATCAGCATTCAGTTGAATAATTCAGTAACGGAAGGCCTAAGTACCAGGCATTATTTTGATTTTACAACACTCTCAAGAACCTACGAATTAAGTTGCATTCACTCCACGTGAGGATAACAAAGTTGAAGGTTGGGGGTTATTATGCATCCTCCCCAGCCAGCAAAGAAGAGGTCTGGAGACCTGAACCCAGTTTGTTCCCAAGTCAAAGCTCATTCGCAGCTACGATACACCGCTGCCTCTGTGCTGCATCTCTGGGTAATTTCATCTCAGGGCTGAACTGTTTCCGAATTGAGGATAACCTTTTGCATCCAATGTATATAGAGTTTGATGGTAATCTGTGTGTCATGAATCATGGTTAGCCACAGAAACTATGTATTCAATTTGTAATTGTTACATTTTACACTCACTGAGATTAATGAAATAGCTGATATTAATGTTTGAGGCCTAATTATTGGCTTGGGGAGGTGTACTGAAGCCTTGATTTTTAATCGCATAATGTGCCTTTGTGAGACAGAACAGTTGTAAGGGCCAGTATCAGCAGTTCCTGAAGGAAGATTCTAAGAAGCAGCTGACAAGGCTTTGAAAATTCCCCTTGGGTATAATGGTTTTCATTTTAAGTGAAAATGTAAAGCATTTAATTTTCTTGTAACTGAGTTGCTTAATTATACATACTTTTTATTGCTTATTTATTTTTTATTTAAAAATTAACTGATTTTTTTTTGCAAGTACGTAAAAAATAATTGATGCAAATGGAAAAAGACTGGACGATGATATGCAAAAAAAACCCAAAGATTTTTTGGTCTTAGAAATAGGAGAGCCAGGATGATTTTTTCCCCTTTTTACAAATTTTCAATATTGTTGTTTTAGTGGTTTCCCATTTTTTAAAAAAAAATGTAAAATAAGTAAAACTTATTTACTATTTAATGCATAGAACACAATGAATTGGATTCTATTTTACTAATTATGTGGTGTTACACAAGTCACTTAATTCTATATACATTTAGAATATTTTTTACTATGTATAAAATAAATACCCTAATTTAGAAATTTGGATCCAAAAATATTTATATTTTAAATGTTTTCACCTCAATCTTTCATTAATTTTAGAATAGCCATTTTCCAGCCTGTTTTAAGTTGGACTATATTTCATGTCTTGGGTGACACTGATGATGAAGGCAAATTTGTTTGTAGTCCCGCCATCTTGTTCTTTATTATTTATCCTCCTGTAGTGACACCCTTTCTCCCATTACAAAAACTATGCAACTTACTCTGTTACTTTGATATCTGATATTTTCACCTTTTCAGAATCTCTCCTCATTTCCTGACCAAAAAAAAAAAAAAAAAAAAAGAACCAGAAAAGAGACCAAAGATCCACAGATGACCTCTATAAAAAAAAAAACTAGATTAAAAATTATCCCCGATAGGATCCACTGGTTAGCAAACTTGCTCCAGAACCTGGAGGGCAAGGAGAGGCGGGAGAAAGAGGCGGCCACTCCAGACTGGGAGATGGCAGGTTTAAGAAGAAGAGAACTTACACAGGAGGCTTATCTTGAGCACCCAAGATGAAAAGATCTCTGCACCTGCCGCCAGAATCTTAAGACGTCTGTATAGAAGCCCTAATGGGGCTCATTCAGTCTAGATGGTCTCAACAATGCATTCTCTCTCAAGGCTCCATCCTTGAGAATGGCTCCCACTGTGGGAACTGTGGGCAGAACATACATTCCAAGTACAGAGGAGGGATGAAGAACCTCTGACTGCCCAGGCCCATCTCACAGATCAGCGGGAGGTCACATCCTTTCAACGACCCCCACCAACAGTATTGCCAGATATTAAAATAGACTCCAAAGCAGGGATTCTCAGCTAGTTTTGGTTTTGGGGTTTTTTATCTGCTTTTGCTTTTTTGGTCCCTCAGGTAACACTCTGCAATGTTTGGAGACATTTTTAAACTGTCACAACTAGGAGTTGAGGTCGGAGTCGGGGTTCTTGGCATCCAGTGGGTAAGGCCAGGGATCATGCTAAATATCCTACAATGCGCAGAACAGCCCTCAGCAAAAAAAGAATGATCTTATCTGAAATGTCACTACTGCTGAGACTGAGAATCTTGGCTCTGAACCTTCTCTAATTAAACCATCTTGGTATTGGTGCATGAATAGATAAGGCAATGGAAAATAATAGAAAATCCAGAATTAGGTCGACTTGCATGTTTAATTTAGTATAAAATTAAAGGCATGTTGCAAATGAGTGGAGGAAAGATTGGCTTTTAAATAAGGAGTGAGGCGGTTGTGATTATCTGCATAGCCATGTGAAAAAAGCTAAAGTTGAACCCATTCCTTAGACCATACTTCAGGATAAATTAAAAGTAGATCAGATACTTAAATACAAAAAGTGAAATATAATACACACACAGAAACTTTCATTCCACTGATACATACGTGTTGATAAATTCTTATAAAACAAGAGAACCACCATCCACATCCAGAAATAAAACCTCACTGTCCCTACAGAGGCCCCTCCCCCATGGTATTTTTCTGATTACAACCTCTTCCCTTTCACCAGAGTTAATCACTAGTCTGACACGACTCTTAAGGAGATCAATTTCTTGATATTCTTTATCTCTGAGAGTCTAAATAGAACTATTGAATTTTGCCCTTTACTGTGTTTCATATCAATGGACGCTTGTTCTATCTCTTATGTGTCTTGGTTTTTTGTCTTTTCCTCATGATCATGTTTATGTAATACATCTACATTGGTGTGTTTGACTGCAATTCACTTTTTGCCGTTTTGCAATATTCCTTTTATGAATCTATCCCAACTTATTTATCTATTCTATTGTTGGTAAGTGGTTGATTTGTTCCCGCATTTTGGCTCTTACAAATAACACTGCTATGAACATTCTTGTATGAGTTTATGGTACACCTGTCCACGCACTGTTGCAGGATATATAGGAGTATCTTGAGTGTATGTCTGTGTGTGTTCTATTCTTGAAAAGAATATGCATTCCATGGTTGTTGGGAGCAATGTTCTATAAATGTCTATTAGTTCAAATTTTGTCAATCCTGTTGTTCAAATCTTCTGCGCCTGTCTGTCCTGACATTTTAACTTTGTTATTGCATCAGTTACTGAAAGGGTGTTTCTTTTTCACAGTATGATTTATGGGTTTTTCTCTTCTGTGGTTCTTTGTTCTTCTTCATATATTTTTAGGGTGTGTTGTTAGGTGTACACAAAATGTACAGTGATTACCTTCCTTTTAAATTAAACATTTTATCCTTATTTGACATGGCCCACATTATCCCTAGTGATGCTTTTATATCTTAACATCTACTTGCTTTGATATCAGTCTGGCTAGTTCAGCTTCCTTGTGGTTTATACGAAATTGTGAGTGTATTTATTTTTCTTATTTGACCCTTCTTGGAATTTACTGAAGCAATTAAGTCGGTGGATTGGTGACTTCATCAGTTCTGGATGATTCTTAGTCATTATCTCTTCAAATCTGGCCCCTGTGTCTTCTCCCCTCTCCTTCTATAACTAATCAAACATATGTTAGAGTGCTCCACCTCCCTTAAACTCACCTGTGTATTTTTCACATCTTTTAAAAAAATCTGTACTCAAATTCTGGGTAAATACATCAATCTTCCCATTAACTAATTTTTCTACTTTGTGTTATCTGCTTCTTAACACATTTATTGAGCTTTTAATTCCAACTATATATATGGCATATTAGTTTTAGTTCTTTTTCAAAATTACAAGGCCACTCTTTCAGTTTCCTGTTGTCTGCAGATATTTTCCAAGCTTGTCTTTTACTCCTTTAAATGCTGAGAAATGCAGCATTTTAAATGCAGGGTTGTTTACTTTATTTATGGGATATTCATCTTGAACTATATTTTAAAATACATCTTGGGTACCATCTGATGTGGTACCTATTTCATGGACAGAAATGATTCTTATTGGATGATCTTGGTCTGTGCTCTGGATCTCTCAGCTTCATTTATTGCCTTATTCTCTGTATTTTCATATGCGTTCACTCTAATCATCTGAAGCTTCTTTATGTTAGTAATTCAGTTTTTAGTGGCGTCTATTCTATTAGTTGTTATTTCTAATTTTTTTTTACTTAGTTCTGTAATTACATTGTATTGGACTTCGTGATGGTTTTCCTTAGATCAATAATACCCCCTTTTGATTCTGTTCTTGAGCTGTTTTCCTCTAAGCTCTGTGCCTCTTGCAAGCTGTATTCTCTCTTCCCCTTATAGGATATTTGCATAGTTATGAGCCTTTGCTTTTGCTGAGGCTTGGGTGCCTCTGTCTCACCCGATACAATGTGGTGACCTCTTGGCTTTTTTTCCACAGTGCATTATACCTGTTTATTCAACCTTTGGACCATTTCCCTCAATCCAGAGTATGGCCTTGGAACGTTTGTATCCATCAGTGAGAGTGAGGCTCATTGTTCACTTCTTTATCCTACTCCCTTGCCCTCAACAACAGTGCAATATTGTGATTTATGGAAAATATGTATATTTGGACATTTAGATGACCAAAATATATTTCTTATATGTATTTGTTATACATCCACAATTCCTGGCTCATGGCTCTGAAGTGATAAGAGAAATGGAAGCATTTTTTTTCATTTTTCAGTTTTATTAGGTAGAATTGTTGCAGTTTGACTGTACATATACAATATATTGCATGTAAATACATATACACAATATACTGCACATAATTTTTTTAGTTTGCATATAAGTACTGTTCATTGTTTCTAAG